AGCAGCATAAAAATACGTGGCATTGTACAATAAAATTAAAAGACAAGAAATAATCTCAATAGCAATAAAATAGAAATGCATGTTGAAATACACATTTACAGTTACGAAATATAAAGCATGTCTCCTCTACATAAACATGTGTCCCCTCTTCTTCATGTCTCTTCTACATCAACATGTGTCCCCTCTTCTCCATGTCTCTTCTACATCAACATGTGTCCCCTCTTCTCCATGTCTCTTCTACATCAACATGTGTCCCCTCTTCTCCATGTCTCTTCTACATCAACATGTGTCCCCTCTTCTTCATGTCTCTTCTACATCAACATGTGTCCCCTCTTCTCCATGTCTCTTCTACATCAACATGTGTCCCCTCTTCTTCATGTCTCTTCTACATCAACATGTGTCCCCTCTTCTCCATGTCTCTTCTACATCAACAAGTGTCCCCTCTTCTTCATGTCTCTTCTACATCAACATGTGTCCCCTCTTCTCCATGTCATAACGATGTTTTGTCTTGAGTAACCATTAGCCAATCAGCAACCAAGGTAACCCCCCCCCTAATCTCCTTCTAGAGCACCATTGTGATCTTGTAACCAAATCTCTCTCAGAGGGGCGTGGGGAGGGGCTCCTTATTTTTATCTAAAGTAACAGACAGAGAATCAGCACTTTGGAAACATGGCTGAAACAGAGAGGATTATGGGTAATGCTGCAATGATCTGTTTGGTGTTTCAGCCAATCAGAGACAGTCTCTGGATATATCTGAGACCCGGAATATATTGATGAAAATAGTATGATAGGGGACCTTTAATATGCACATCAGGCAAACACTGAAAATCATTCATTTCCACTTGATCTAGAAATATGCAACTATAAGAAAAGCTACATATCATTAATACATAATTGCTGACACTGTCAATATGTTCACTTTTCAAAGTCAAAGTCCAACCTGTAATTGATAATATTGCAACGTTTTCAAAGTCAACTTTATTGTCAGTCTTTCAGTTTGTGTGTACAGACGGAGAGATCGAAATACCGTTTCCCACATATGCACACATTAAGTTTTTATCTTAATGTGTGCATATGTATAAATGTGTCTGTTGATCGTGTATATAGGATATACATATTGTATGCAATAAAATACACTGAAAAAACCTGATACACAGTACTACGTCTGTATACTTTTCAAATAAAAATAAGTACAACATTCAAAAAAGTAATCAGCAGTGCTTCTACCGTTGTAAAACAATTAACGTAATATGCATCATATTTACAACTCATAAGATACAAAAAATAGGAAGATTAGGCAAAGGGAGGCGTGTGACGCAGTGGATAGAGCCTTGGTGTTGGGATCAGGGGGTCACAGGTTCAAACCCCACTGCAGTCAGCATGTCGTTGTGTCCCTGGTTAAGATACTTCACCCCAAATTGCTCCTGTGGGGATTGCCCACAGTATTGAGTATGTACGTCGCTCTGTATAAAAGCGTCTAACAAGTAAAATGTAATGTAAATAATAATAATATATTTCGAATAAATAATAATACTATTATTAATTATTATTATTATTATTATCAAAAAGTTATCACCTTAAATAATATAAAATACAATCAGCAGCAGCAGTTTGTCTGACAGCTGCTCCACGTGCTGTGTCTGTTTACTTTCTGCGCAGGAAGCACGCTGCGGTGGCAGGTCGCTCTCTGATTGGCTTGACGTCACGCAGTATTCTCCCCCGCTCTGTGATAGGCCTGACGTATCGCAGTGTCCTCCCACCGGCGGGACTCGTATGCGGAAGCAGTTTTAGTACCGCGTAAAGAAAGTGTAAATATCTCCGTTAAAAGTGAATGTTAACGCGGAGTACCGACGCTGTGTGAGGTGAGTGGGTGAAACGAGCCGTTAGAGTTCAGCCGGGATGAACGGAAAGCCGTTTAAACTGAATAGAACGTTCGAAATGAACGGAGGCTCCGGTGAAACTCCGTTAAAATCCCTTTAAATCGCGTCCTTACGTCTCTGTTAAGCCGTTAACTCCCCCAGAGCTGCATACTAATGATATATTATTAAACAAACACCTTCGATCGCTCTCGGGACGTTAATCACATGGGAACTCTGCCCGTTTGTGAACATCTCTCACGGGATTTGAACATTTAGCGGGTTTCTGTTAACCGGGAACGCGCATGCGCAGTGGGAAGAGGCGGATATAAGGATTGGCGCCGGCGCCACAGCTGATGCATCCATTCATTCACTGACTCTCCAGCGACGAGGTAAGAGACCTTCCGAGACACTTTTATCCTTTAAAATCTGCCTAATAAAGCTGGATGTCTGAGCCTCGCCTCACAGGGTCTGCATGGCACGGGTTGCCCTTAAAAATGAAGCAGTTTGCTGTAAATGTGGGTTAAAAATGGAGCGGTTTGCTGTAATTTGGGGTAAAAGTTGACCAGTTGGCTGTAAATGTGGGTTAAAAAGTGCAATCGAGACGCTGCATTCATATCTTATTCTCCTCTTGTATTCTACCTCATATAAAAGTGGGTTTCCTCTGTATTATATAGGGTTTCAGACTCTGTACTTGGTGAGTTTTAGTTTTAAGAGGAGTTTATTTCCAGTAACACTTGCTGTTGTTGTGATTTTAAACTCTGTTAAAGTGTCCCTTTCTATGCGTGTTTCTTCAGAATGAGGTTCACTGTTCACGTGAAAGCAGCTTTGTGTCGGGTGTTATAATGGAGGGTCGGGGTTAGCTGGTTATTGTTGACCTAGTTAGCTGACCCAGGCTAGGTTTGCTAATTACTGTAGCTCCTCTGCACAAAGTAGCCTCGCTGTGGTCTCGGTTTATCCGCATTTAATAACCTTTTTCAAGGTTTGTGTTCAGATATGATATACCCAAGAGTGTACCCAGCAGTTGATGTCGGTTTTAGGGCGATATTGGGCTGTTTTCCACTAGTTTCCCCGCGGAAGCTGCAGGAGGTTCTGCGAAGGCTGAGCTCAAATCCTCCCGCTTCTGAGCTTCTGAAATTGGCGCGTCTTTGAGTTTCAACCCTGAAATAAAGTCCATATTACCGCCTTTCCACACTTTAAAACTTCACTACACTCGCATTGAGATGTTTGCTCAACCATTAAAGGTGATAAAAGTGCGTTTTAATGCAGCATTTATGACCTTTTTTTGTTTGAAATTGAGGGAACAATCAGCCCCCCTCCTTTCTTTTGGCTGTAGTCACCACACTAGCTTACAGAGCTAGTGTGGCTCTTTGACCACTTTCATCTGGTTTATAAACCTGCTATTTAATGAAATGTGTTCCCATGTGGAGCTTTAGCTTAGTTAGCTGACCATCACTGTTTGTTAAAGCCACTTTATCCCTCTTTACTGAGCTGAACCTCTGACCTCGCAGGCTAGCTATCACTAAGCTGTGAAGTGCTCTTACATGTTGGGGTCCAGTCATGGTGCAAGGAGAAACAGTAGAATAAAAAGCTACATATTATTTTTGCGAGACTAATGTACGAGAAAGTGCAAAAGTGTGTATTCATGTTAATAATATAAGTTATACAAGAACAGAATGACGGCCGTACAGTGGAATTGAATAACTCCAGGATGTGAAATCTGTGCGCCGTGGATTTATCCTCACCTGCTCCTCTTTCTCTTTGCAGGAGCCATAAAGATACTCTACACAATGTCCAGACGCAGGTAAGAGCTGGTTCTCAAGCTGTGGTGTGGGGACCATCGGGGGGCCAGGACATCACCCAGTTGGTACGGCTGGGTGGTTATATAGATTTACATGCTGTTATTTAATAATTCAAAGCATTATCAAAGAAAATGGGAGCATTCATTTGAGTTGTTTCTTCACCTTCTTGATCACTAATCAATATTTTGGTGGATCATATGATCTGCAGTCGGAGTACAATTTCGAGGAACTATAATTGAGGATTTCCATTTTATGCTACTTTAAATGGTGTACTTTTACTCCATCTGGATGAACGATGTGAAATACTGTCGCAACTTTCACTTGAGCAACATTTTGAATGCAGGACTTTTACTGAAACAGAGTATTCCTGCACTCTGGTACTTCTACTTTTACTCAAGTACAAGATCTGAGTACTTCTACTTTTACTCAAGATCTGAGTACTTCTGCTAAACTTTAAAGTAATAATCTGAGTGATGAATGAGCTTCAGTAAACCTTTAACACACGTTACAGGATCACAGTAGCTTCAGCACACGGTTACTTGTCTTAATACAATCCGACTAAAACACATGTAATAAATCTGATTCCTGTCGTGAGTCACTCAAACGGCCCGTAGCAGTTGCATGCCATGAGATTCCCTGTTCTTAAATCTGATGCACTTTTGTTTTGTATTTCAGTGGTCGCATTACTTTGCAAGCCAGAGATTCAAACGCACTCGTGCCGACCGTCAAAGCCCCGCTGAAGAAAAGGAAATCTGAGGTTTGTGTTGTTTCATACTTGTGTGTCTTTGGACTTAACGTTATAACAGTGTGTTACCCCGTTGTAGCTGTTAGCACTGATGCTAACTCCCATTTATTTGTGTTCTTCTCCAGCCCTCAAAGAAACAACTACAACCTGCTGCCAAAAAACAGAGCTATGAAATCCAGGTCAGTGTGTCCACAGGCCATCACTCTGAATTAGTGTGGTTAGCGTTTAGGCTGGGATGTGTGTATTGTTTATCTGTGGTGTGTGTGTGTGTGTGTCCCCTCCCTGTTTCAGTTACTAAAACTAACTTCGCTTTGAATATTTAAAGTTCAGTAATGGAAACTATAGCTTCCTTTTTATTGAGAGCGTCCATTTTGTTACACCGTAGATCACACATATCACACCTGGCTTTCCTTTAGCCCCGGTTTAGTCTCCCACACATTATCTGTGTTGAACAAAGCACATCAACAAGCTATTACACATTATTTAGACACTCCAGAAAAACGCGTGTGTGAGATTAAAATAGCCCAATTGCTTTTACAATAAATAAACATTGAATGTGTTTAATTGAATAGTAAAGGGGTTTAACGTTAGTGGCAGGTTGTGTGTGAGAGAGAATAAATAAGACAGCCCAATATTTAAAAAAATTGTTATTCTTTTCCTCCGCATATTTCGCAACTTCCCGCAATTTCACCGCATAAAATCACAAACTCTGCATGTTTAATCGCATAATCAAGGATTTTAGCCCGCGTTTTTTTGGAGGGTCTAATTATTAGTTTGTTCTTGATTTGGTCGGATTGAGGTCACTCCTAAGAGCACTTTGTAGTAACAGTGCAGTACCTGCTGTCACCACAAGGTGTCACCGGTGAGCTTGACTGGTAAACTGTTATTTACAGCACATTTGAGGTAAACTCTCCAATAAAAGGCCTACAGCATCGTCTGACCTGATATTTAATTTATGTTCTCTACTTTAAATGTTGATGTTTACCATTTAGTTGAAGCACCCTGAGCTTCCCCTGGTGTTTCTAAAGTGCCGTACAGGTAAAGCATTATTGTAGTCTTTGTTTTGATATATTTATTCACCTTGTCTGTGTATTTGCTTCTAGAAGTGTTGGTCTGAGGACGGAGCGAGTCCCTGCCTCCTCATCGAGACGCCGCACAAAGAGCTGGAGCCCGCTGACCCGTCCAGCTTCAAGCAGTACCGCTTCAAGAACCTCTTCATCAAGGCCTCCCCCATCCCCCGCCTCAGGTGAGAGAGAGTGTGTTTTACACCTCAATGACTCGTCACGCTGAGCTGCGGCTCCGCCCGACTCAGTATTCCCACTGAAAGCGTCTCTATTCAGACTTTGTGTGTCGTCCCAGTCTCATGGTGATTCTGAATTAACCAGTTAAACCCCACGGGGGCCAAGCGCAACATCTTACAAGAAACAGCGTCTGAGGGCTTCTTAACATTTAAGAAACTATGGATGTGTCATACCCACTTAACGGGAAGAAACTCGGCTATCAGACAAAATTGACCATTTTTAGCCAAAGGAAACATAAGGGTAATAACGAAGAAGGCTCTGAATTAATCATCAAAATCGACCCATGGGGGCCAGAAATATGGAAAATCCACCCAAATGACCCCAGAAGTGTTTTTTTTCTAAACCTCTCTAAAAAGGTCAAATGTCACTTGTTTTGCATCAGAGTACTTATTATGTTATTGTTTGGATTCCTAAAGCTTTTAGTCGACTATCCCATCATCCAAGGGTGGTTTTCACTATAAGTAATGTTTTTGTTTTTTTTGGGCGGAAACTATAATTTATGTTCAATCTGAATTTACTTTAAAAATAAAATCATCTATATTGATTCTGACTTTTCTACATCCAACTCACAGGTTTATCATTACTTTGAGAAAAAAGATGATTAATGTAACCCTTTTTTAGAAGGGAAGATATGGTCATTTGTTCTGGGAATGTCACTTTCGAGTCTGAGACCTGAAAAACAGGCTCTGGGCTAAACAGGTTATTTAAATCTCAATAATAGATACAGATAATAACCGGTAAATTGGCATCTCACCGTCACTTTGAACGACACACTGACCAATTGAACTTGTCGATTTTGGATGCGAGACAGTTTCAGGACGTTCTCCAATGGTACGTATAGAGATACTAACCCCCGGTGTTTGTCCTGCAGCTGGGCCAGCTCTGACGACGTTTGGATCAAAATGCTCAACAAGGAGCTGAAGTACGTCCACGACAAAAAGTTACCTAGCAGAGACACCCCAAGCTGCAGCCCAAGATGAGAGCCATCCTGCTGGGACTGGCTGCTGGAGGTCA